CATTTTAGGTTTAGGCACACTATTTTTTCAGTTTCCATATAAATGGGGTTGTTGCTTTTGAGGATTTTTAAATTACTATTTTGATATCTTTTTTGCTATTAGTGTCTAATATTATTATATTATGGTCAGAAAACATGATCTGTATGATAGGCATTCTTTGGAGTACATTAGGACTTCACTTTTGACTTAGTATGTGGCTAGTATTTATAAATATTCCATCTCTATTTGGAAAGAATATGTGTTCTCTATATTTTTAAAGGGCAGGGATATATCTGTAACTCTATATCTTTATTTCTATCTCTGCATTAGGTCAAACTTGTGAAATGTGTTGTTCAATTCTTCCACATCCTAAATGTTTTTCTATTTATCTATCTTGAAAGAAGTCTATTAAATCTCCCACTATGACTGTATCAATTTATACTTGCGCTTTGTCAGGTTTTAGTTTATATGTTTTGAAACTATGTTATTAAATGCACTTAATACTGTAGTGCATTTGCCAAGGAGTATTTTTGGATAGCCTGCTGATAAACCGTCTCTTTTATCCACAATTATCCTTTTTATTCCTAATATTGTCCTGTGACTTAACATCTATTTAGTTTGATATTAGTATTGTTATGCCAGGTTTCTTTCAGTTACCATTTCTGTGATATGTGCTTTTTCCATGTCTTTACTTTATATCTTTCAGGTTTTAGCTATGTCTCTGATAAAGAAAAAAAACTGTTTTCCTTTCAATCTGAGATTTTATGTCTTTTAACAAATTTAATCTATTTACATTTATCATGATTATTGATATTCTTGAATTTCTTTAATCTGATTTTGCCTTCTCCACAATTTGAGTTTGATCTCAAGAGCGAAGAGTTGAGTTAATCACATTTTCATTTTGTAGTGAATTATCATTCGTTGTACACACTTAATTTCGGGTTTTTTTCCCATTTCCCTCCTTCATGTATCATCCATCTCAAGTGATTGGAATACATCCTTAAAATATCTAATGTGATTATAAAATATGTAGTTATGTTTTGAATATGTATTTTTTTCAATTTACATGAATAGCATTATACTCTAAACCTCATTTTGTTTCTTGCATTTTTCACCCAACATTGTTTTTAAGATCTATTTCTGTTGCGGTATGTGTATCTAGTTTGTTTATTCTAATTACTATGTAGTATTTCATAGAATGCAACCACTACATTTACCTAGCCATTCAAGATTGGGGACCCCAGGTGCCCTCCACTTTCTACTTCCATAAGCAACACTGCACAGAACATTTTTATATGTGCCCTCTTGTAGACTAGAGTAAGAATTTCTCTGATGAGTGGTATTACTGGGTAATACAATACTTGTGTGTTTAATTTCACTAAGAAGTGACTGTGAATTATTTTCTAGAATGGCTGGAAGCTTTGAACTTCCACCACGAGTGCATGATTATTAATACTGTATGTTAGCCACCTGCCTAGTTTTTGCAATTTGATTGATGTAAAATGATATCTCATTATTGTCTTCACTTACAATTCTCTGCTTATTAGTGAGTTTGAGCCTTCTTTCTTCGTATATTTGTAGTCATTCAGGATTCTCCCTCTGTGAGTTGCTTATCTGTGTATTTTGCCTATTTTTATGTTGGATTTCCCATATTTTCTCAGTGACTTGAGGGTTTTCATACATTCTAGGTATTAACCTCTTCACAATTTTAGACATTGCAAATTTTTCCAGTCTTTCATCTGTCTGACAACTTTGTCTATAATGTCCCTCATGGAACAATTTATGAATTTTTATCTCACAATTTTTGCTTTCAGGAGCTTTCCTAAGAGATCTTTTTACTCTACACTATAGAAATATTCTCTTACATTTTCATCTGTTAGTTTTATGGTTCTGCCTTTCCCACTGAGTTCTTTAAGCCATCTAGAGTGCAGGAATTCAGCTTTATTTGCCTTCATGTGATGCACTGGAATAGTTTTCCCAGCATATCTAGAAAACAGATGAACGCTTGCTGGAATCCTGATTAGGATTATATTGAATGTACAGAATAATTTTAGGAAAATTGACATCTTTACTAAATTAGTTTGAACTCTCCTTGAACATGCTCTCTCTCTTCATTTAAGAACCCCTTTTATGTCCTTTAATATAAATTGAATGTATTCTCTATAAAAATCTTGTGCATATTTTAATAAGTTGTTAGACACCTCATCAATTTAGTTGCTATTGTAAATAGCAGTGTATTTTCTCATTTATTTTATATTTATTGCTGCTATAAGATAGGAATACTATTGATATTTGTAATTTGACATTATATACAACAACCTTGCTAAACTTCGATTTTTTTTATAATAGATTTCAGCTGATTGTGTTGTTTTTCTGGGTATACAATTAAATCAACTACAAATAAAGACAGCTTTATCTTTTTCCTTATATTCTTATGTCCCTTGGTCTTCTTGTCATATAACTTTGGTCAGAATATCTGCAATAATAATAAGCACTGGTGATGATAAAAAGCATAGTTTTCTTGTCATTAATTTAATGGGACTGTGTATAAAATTTCTCTATTATTATAATGTTCACTGTGGTGTTAGATATATAGACTTTATCAAGTTAAGAAAGTTTCTTTCTATTCCAGTTTACCTAAAAGTTTTAATTATAAATAGAAGTTGAACTTTATCAAAATACACTTTTCTTCATCTATTGAAATAATCAGATGATTATTCTGTTACTACATGAAAGGGAAAACTTGCACGATTGATTTTCTCAGGTTGGACCATCTTTTACTCCTCAATAAATTCTACAAATCACACGTTAACTCTAACTCGTTAGATTCAGGTAAAAAGTATTTTGTTTAGAGCTTGCACACTAGTGATCAGAAGTAAAACGGGTGCTAATTTTTTATTGCACTTTATTTCCCATCTTAAAATCAAAGTTTTACTAGGTTCAAGAAAGGTGAATAGCTTTTCCTCTTTTTCTAGCCATATTATAACTTGAATAAACTAGGATTATTTACACTTGGAAATTTTATAAAATTCATCCATATTACCATCTGATCTTTCTATTTTGTTTCAATTTTTTTCTTCTTTCTTTCCTATCATTGTCTGATAGAATTCCTTCATTATCTTTTTTTCCCCACTACTGGTCTGATGACTTGATTTCTTTCTACTTTTTTAGGTCTTACCTTTACATTTTGAGCATGCATACCGGACTGAACAAAGTCTGAAATTAACATTTATGTCATCGTCCTAAACAACATAGACTCCAATCTTCAATCTGCAACAAACTCTCATCTTCCATGATATTACTGTGGAATGTTTTGCTTCCACTTTGTCCCTCAGATGAATTTTATTATTAGAGTCAGTGCTTATTCAGATTTACCCATATGTTCAGCAATATCTTTGTTCTCCATTGCTTTTTGCTTCTAACTCCTTCCTTCAGGGTTCAGTTTGCTCTCTCCTGAAGCATATTATTTTGTAGTTCTTAGAGCAAGGGTCTTTAAGTCATAAATGTTCTGTTCTTGTTAATCTGAGAATGTCTATATTTTACCCTCACTCTCGTATTATAGATTAACTGGGTATGGAATTCTGAGTTAACAATTATTGTCCCTCAAAACTTTCAAACTATTATTCCCTTTTTCTCTTGGGAAGTCTTCTGTTGATGAGATACCTGTCAGCAGGCAGTTAACCTCGTCTCTCTGACTGCTTCACAGTTTTGTCTATGCCTTAAATGGTCCTGCAGTTTCCACCACAGGATGTCTGTATGTAAATATATTCATATTCTCTAAAACCTGCCTGCGTCTTCAATATGGGGATTGATATATTTCTTCAATTCTGTAAAAAATATCAGGCATCATATCTTAAATTATTGCTTCTGCCCCATCTTTTTATTTTCACCATTAGGTTTATGCTGGGCCTTCTCATTCTCTCCTCCATGTTTCTTAGCTGTCCTTCCAGATTTTCTATGTTTCTTTCTGTCTTTTTATGTTTTGGGTCAGAACACTAGGTGACTTCCTCAAATCCATCTTCCATTTTGTTAATTATCTCTTTGTTATACCTCATATGCTACTTAAGCCATGAATTAAGTTTATAATTTTAATAACTATTTTTTATGTTTAGAAGTTCTCCTTGACTTTTTTCAAATCGACACATGCTTTTTCTATCAGTTCCTATTTATTATGGTTTATATTCCTTCATTAAGCTCTATAAACTTTTAAATACATTTACTTTAATATTTTAATAAAATCTTTCAGATTCTTCTATTTTCTCTACTTAATGAAGTACTAATTCTCTTATATCTTGCATCAGCCAATTTTCTTTCATGATGCATGATTTTCTCTCATAATTTATAATTTTCATTATACACTCATTTTCAATGAAGGTAGTATTTTCTAATATGTCTCAAGGGCTCTGATTTATGGAAATCTCCACATAGAGCCATTTAACATGCACTTCTCTGAGGACTCCAAGAGTATCTGAACCAGTTTTATTAATAATTTCTCAACTTGTAATTCTAATACCTTAATAGTAAAATAAGTTAAACTCAGGGATTTTATTTCTGGTAACTGACTTTTTAACATCAATTATAGCCCCCAACACCCAGAAAACTTCCTTGTGCTTCCTTAGTTTTCCCCAGTATCCTTTCTGTTGATAGGATAGCTATCCACCTCCATGCTTTATGCAAGAGCTCCCCCCAAACTCTCTGCAGCCTAAGTCCTTATTTCCTGTTCTGTGGCTCTGGCATTGAGTTCCTTATTTTTATCAATTTATTTGGTGAGGAAGATTGGCCCTGAGCTAATATCTGTTGCCAGTCCTCCTCTTTTTGCTTGAGGAAGATTGTCCCTGAACTAACATCTTCCTCTATTTTGTATGTGGTTTGATGAGTGCTGTATAGGTCCATGCCCGGGATCCAAACCTGCGAACCCTGGGCCACTGAAGCAGACTGCACAAACTTAACCACCACACTGCTGGGCCAGCCCGAGTTTCCACTTTATTTTGCAATTAAATATTTCATTTTTAAAGCTCAGTTTTTATTATATTATTACACATTTATATTATATATTTATATATATACACCATTACATATTATATACCTCTCCACTCTATTTCTGCATGCCTTTGTATCTTTCCCTTCTCTTATGGGACTGCAGGACTATTAACAGTGACTAGAAAGATTAAAGATAGATTGACTTTTGGCTCTCTACATGTACGTCATTTATAAGCTTTTAATGTTTACACAGAAAAAGCAGATTATTTAACTAAACAGCAGAAATTTTATTGCTCCAATACAACCCTGTTATTCAATTATGCAACCCTTATGATCTTTTCAAAAGAGTTGCTCCTCATACATATTTTCTAGTGGCAAAGAAATTCTCATTGTTGATTTAGCAGGTGAAAAAGATGATGACTATTATGAATAATACAGAAATCTTATAGACTAGATCAACACACAAGGTAAACAGAAATTCCTTGTTTGAGCAACATGCCAGAACTCAACATTTGAATGATTTTTTTCTCTCCTTCAAAGTAGTCAGCTTGGAACGTATCTTCACTACCCTCATGAGCAGTGCTGCATTTGCTCAGACCCTTTTTGGAGCTTCTCTTTCAGAATTATCTTCAGGGCCTGGTACACAATGCTTTGAACAGCCTCTGTGGTAGCAAATCACCATCATGGAAGAGTTGTTCTTATTTTGTTTTGTTTTTAGGATACAACCATTATTTGGAGCCCATTGAAATCGGTGTTCAAGTTGGATAATATATTTGGGTTTGCTCAAATACCAGGGAGAGAGACTGTGAGGTAATGGGGGTATTTTCCTGTGTACCTTATAAACTAATCCTGAAGCGATGATGAGTTTCAAAATTAGTTGATAAAACAACAGCCTCATAGCAACAAGAACAAATCCTTTCATAGCAACCCCTTCAAAGGGCAACACTCCCCTCATTTAACAGTTTAAGCACTATTGTATTTCTTGTGTGAAATACTTTTTGTTTATAACTCATACATTCATTCTCTTTAAAATATAAATATTTAAAGAGATTTGCTGAAGATATTTTTATGTTTGAGTTGTACAGGATTTTTTTGTAAGATTTGCTTTCAAAATATGGTTGGGCACTATTCAAGAAAGGTAAACATTTTCTGGGAGAAATGCTAGGATGCAATCATTGGAGTTTTATTCACTTCAGAGTAGGTTTCCTTGGTTTCATAAAGCATGCAAACATTTGGACAGTGTCCCCTTTCCTGGGGCAGTAAGGTGGAGCAAAGTAACAGGAGATACTGTGGACCTGGAATTAAGGGGGTCAAGTCTGGTTTTGGCCAAAGTTTTAAAGTGACTTAACAAATATCTGTCTGTTTTTCCATCAATGATGCTCATCAGCCTCCAAGGATTTAAGAATTAAATGGAGGTACTTTTGAAAGCCCCATGGAATCAAGTTGTAGCAAAAGACAGATCCCTAGAGCTCTGAATGGGGAAATCCAAAAATACTATCATGAACCTGTAATTAGAGTTTAGCTCTCTTTTAGCCTCTGACCCATTCACTGCACTGTTAGCCTTCTGGAAAATGCTGAAATGCTAGATGACCACAAAGATCCCTGGAGCTCCTGACTCAAATGGTCACACCAAGAATTTCTGGAATTGTGATTATAATCAGCAACCATAGTAAACATTGCCACAAGAGACAGCAGCTACTAGCTGGAGACACAACGTATGTATATGACATAGTGTATAGCTTAATTTATCTACATATGCATTTTTAAACATCTAGAAAGACATATATATGTATGATACATATATATCATGAGGAAAAGAGGCCATCTGTGAGGTGGAATTATTTTTTCCTTCTTTTTTGCTTATCTATATTTTCTAATTTTTCTAAAATGAGCACATAGAAATATGAATAACTTCAATTCACATAAAAATAAAACACTCAGTGCAAGTGGGATCACTGTGCAGAAGTGACACCAGAACATAGGTCTGTTACCACTATCTACTTGCCCTTTACTGGGTTGCACAAAACTGTCAGACCACACGGTCCTGGGTAGCATACTATGGATTATCTTGTTTGGCTAAATTTTCAAATTATTCGATTATCCATATAAAAGTTGATTGAAACTCTCATCCATTATACTGAATTCAAGGTCATTATCCTTGTGCAACTGGAAAAACAATGCAAATAAAATACACAGCCTGCATTGCTCTCATCATTCATATGTGTCCGAGCTAATTGAAAATAGATTTTCTTCCATTGTTTTGTACTCAGAAAAAATTAAGGTTCTTGTTTGTTCTCTTTGTGCTACCAAGAAGTAGCATGCATATGAAGGCTGCCAACCTTAAAATATGGTTCATTTGAATCTTAGAAAATGGAACTACATTTAGTTTCTCATTTTTCCATCTTCATTTTCATTGTTCAATGCCAAAATGTTCTTTGGAGAGTATGCAGAATGAAAGACCACATCCACTTCCAATAACTCACAGGAGAGAGTGAATCTCAACAAGCTTTTGCAAAGGGCACAATGGAAAAGAAATAAAAGAAATACTTTTGAGTGAATTACTACGAAAAAATTGCAGTATGTGAAAACTTCTGTTTGACAGTTTTTGACTGAAAAATTATAAGGTATCCATGTTATTTCTCAAGGTATTCATTTTCTTCAAATTAGACAGTGGTTCAAATACTCTTTATAATTGGCATTGCTTGGAGGTATGCTTTTTCTGGGGAAAAAAAAAAAAAGCCACCAAAGTGCAGTCTGGCATTATCACTACCTTAATGGTGTCCATTAGCTTTATACTCCAGAATTTAATGAAAAGGATTTTAGAAAATGTTCAAATCAACATGGTGAGTGAGGAGGTGGGAGGGTGGGTGGAGGATGGGAAGGATAAATGATGCATGCTGCTTCTATAAATTATTTTAGCAACTTTCCAAAAGAAATTATTTTAGCTCATTCTTAGCTTTCAAGTCATCATTTGGAAAATATATGCTGCCTTTGAATGGAACACAGAATTTCAGACTAATATGTAACTCCTTCTAGAAGAGCAAGATAAAAAAATCTTGGTTTCTGTAAATATCACCCATCTACAAAATTGGTGTTTTTTAGGCCACTAAATCCAAGAGATCTTGCCCAAGGTCACTGTGGTAGGCAGAATTTTGGCCCCATGACCTCTGCTTCCTGGTGTTACTCCTGTGAAAGTGTTATCTGCATTGTTACATAATTACATGATAGATATACTTAAGGTTACTAATCACTTGACCTTAAACTAGGGAGATTATCCTGGAGCATCCAGTGAGCCTAAGGTAATCAAATGAGCCCTTCAAAGCACAAATTTTTCTCTGGCTGTTTGCAGAAGAAGAAGTCAAGATTCAAAGAATGAGAAGGATTTGATAGGCCTTTTTTTATCTGAAAATGAAGGGAGTCACAGGTTAAGTAAATAAGGACCTCAGTCCTACAATGGCAAGGAACTGAATTCAGCCAACATCCTGAATAAGCTTGGAAGTGTAATCTTCCCCAGAGCCTGGAAGAGCCCATTCCAGCCAACATCTTGATTTCAGTCTTGGGAGGCCCTGAGTAGAGGATGCTACTGAGCCACAGTTTACCTAAACTTTGACCCACAGGGCTGTGAAATAGTAAACGGGTGTTATTCTAGATTGCTAAAAGTTTATAGTAATCTGTTATGGCATCCATAGAAAACAAACATGGTCACTCTATGAACAAGGGATCAAGTCAGTAGCTGGATCAGCCCTAGGCTGTCTGACTCTCAATCCCACACTCTTAGGCACTGTACCACACCATTAACCACCCTTCCCACCAAATGGGTCTGAACACATCGTCATCCTTGTCACTGCCCACAGGTGCCTCTCTCAGCCAGGGCCACTGCCTCCTATGTGGCCACAGGCATCAGTGCGGCTGACTGCTCAGGGAACCCCAGTGTCCCACACCCAAGGCACAGCCAAATGAGCCTCCATGTCACTGCCTTTGACCACTATAGCAGCCCCAGTGTCCTGGATGTTGAAGTGCACCAGCACTACCTTTAGGGGGTGGCTTTCATTGCAGTTGGGGGAGTATTCTGGGCTCTCCTCCTAACCCCAATATTGGGCACTGTAGTTTCTCTAGGATTAGGCAATATATATTTCGGTCTGTATAACAGCAGAAAGAGTACGAGCTCCAACACCTGCTGCCAGGGTTCAAATCTGGACTCCATCCTTTACTAGCTACATGACTTGGGCAAATTACTTAACATCTCTGAACCTGTGTTCCCATCTGTAAAAGGGAGGCAAATGGTTCTGCCTCAAACATTTGTGGGGAACTTTAAATAAAAGATTCATACAATGCTTAGCACAGTTACTGGCACACAATAAATGCACAACTATGTTACTTTTTAAAATTTTCTTCCAACCACACATCATCAGAAATATTATGCCCCCTCTACTTTCCTATCTATTTGTTCACCCAGAGAAAACCCACTTATTACCTTAGAATGTGTTTCACCTGTCCTTGGGTTCAGTGATGCTCAAGGTTACCTGATTTTAAGAAACACCTTAAGTACTTTAAGAAGCACTTAAAAATACAAATTCACATGCCCCATCTCTGGAGCTTCTGTTTCAGGAAGTCTATGGTAGGAAGTCAGGAAGTCTCCAGAAATCTGCATCTTTATCAAGGGCCTCAGATGATTCTTATGAGCTGCCCTAGTTAGGGAGAAGGATCTATGTAATCTTTGGTGTTTGTAGCCACTGATACCAGTTGTGGGGGGAGACCCAGGTGCCAGGATATCCAAGAAAGCCAGGAACATTCTGGTGCCACCATGGACACTGTCACAGGACACCAAGATCTCATAAAGAAAAGATAACAGCACCCCCCACTCCCCCGCCCGCCCACGAATGGCAAAGTTTGCAACGGCAAATTCATAGGCCCTTAAGAAAGTGTTCTTCCATCTCACTCTCTGTCATCCAAAGTGCCTGGCTATGTTATCATTATTTTGGGGAGGGAAAACATAAGAAATTATGCCATGCTGTGCTAGAGCATAAAGCAACAAAGCACTAGCAGTGCTAACAGTGATAGCACAAAGTAAACACTCAATAAATGGCTGTTAGTTTACATAAATCTTGAGCAAATGTGTACAACTTAGTGAGCAGCAGGCTAGAGATGCTGCTTTACCTGTCTGCCATGGGGTTTGTTGGCTGCATGAGGTTCATAAAAATCTTCAAGTCACTACACATCTTGCAAGTGTGTAGACCCCAAGGATCATAGATAAAGGCAGATTTATGTGAAGTTAATTAAACTTAAGCCCTAGCAAGGTGTTCACACGGTCATATATTTTCATAAAATTTGCAAAAAGAAGATTTTTTTCCTCTTTTCTTTATGAGGGCTCTCAAAATTCTACAAGCTTCAGGCTCCATAAAACCTGAATTTACCACCATAGCACCTCAAAGGGGGGCTTGGAACTAAAAGCACAGGGAAATGGGATGCTTGAGACAGCCATACCTCCTTGCAGACTGGACCCCTCAGTACCAACAGGTATGCTCTGAGCAAGTCAACAAACTGCGGTCCTCTGTCTCAGGCATGGCTGCCACCCTCTCCTCTCCCCACCTGGCCCACAGGGCAGAGCTCCCCTTCCTTGCCTGATCCCAGAAGCTGCAAGAAGCCAAGGAAAACCCTCTGCTGGCCCTGAAAATCACTCATACTCCTTTCCATTGCCCCAAGGCTTGGAGTTTCTCACCCCCCAGTCCCTCCTACATGTGCCACTTCCATTTCAGCCCCAGCCTAGGGTCCTCCACTCCATCCCCAACTCAGTGACCACCTAACCATAAACAGCAAGGTGGCAATAAAAAATGTCAATACCTTATATACAACCGGTGCTCTACAAACACTCTGTGATTTAATTTGAAATACTTGTTTTATGTAATTTGTAGATTTTAGCTATTGGACTAAGACTATTCACAGAAACAGATTGTAATTTACTGCTGTTTCTCCGTTTTTTTATTACCGTATAATTAAAACCTACTGTTAGCTAGCACTGTGGGGAAATGTTGGTGCTATGCAGTATGCATTTTAATTGACTACACAACCACCATCTCCTTCCAGCAACCCCGCTTCTCTGCAGTAATGTGTGTGCATAATTGTCAGATCCCATTAGGTGCCTGTAATCTATAGCCTTTCAATAAACCTGTACTCTCTGATTCTCCACTTGTCAGACCTACAGATGCTTTCAGAGTGAAGGACCTCGATCTGAGGGCACACGGGCTTGGGGAAGTTGGGCGTAAGTGTGAGCAGGAAGTCTGGAGGCAGCTCAGCATGGAGCATGGGCTTCCTCCTCTGGGTGTATTCCCTGCAGCCATCAGGGTCGACGACTCTGCTACAAAGTTGGAGACATGGGCCAGTAGCTCTCCCCTTGTGCTGCTTTTCTTAGGAAAAGACAGGGCACTCAAGTGCAACGGAATGAAAGAGGACTTCAGATTCTTAATAGAAGAAGTGCTATCCCATTCTGTAGGTTCTTTTAGTCAACAAACGTATATCCACTCTGTGCCAGTCACTGTGCTTGACACTAAAGGTGCAGCAATGGATAATAGACAGTCCTTGTCTTCGATAAGCTCACATTCTAGTAGGAAAAGGAAAATAGTCATATAAAAAACTACATTGCACCACCATACATTTTACTAGAGCTATGAAGAAATATTTGAGATAATGGAAAGAACATGGTCTTTGGAATTAGAGACTAGGGTTTCAAATCCCACTTCTGCCATGTGTTCAGCCCTATCACCTTGGGAAAAGCTACTTCATCAAAGAACTGCGATTTCCTTCTAGCAACAGAACACTACCCTGCAGAGCACTGAGAGACTTCGTGGCTGCAGGCAGGGTGTTGCTGTTGAAAGCATCCTGCTCCCCTGTGCTCTTACCAGCTGCAATCCCCTTGAGGAGGTGTGGGGGGGATCCAGTGACAAAGATTAGAAATGACAGATGTCAAGGACCTGGTACGGTGGCTAGCATTGGCCATATCATATCATACCATTTGATAAGTGGTAGTTATCACTACTTATAGTTGACAACTATTCGGGAAATTCCATTCCTTCAAGTCCTTGGACTCTTTCAATAACCACAGAACTGGAATCTCTCCTCCTCCTGAGCCTCCTTATAGCATCCCCGGAAAGCTCCTTATGCAAAATTGATCTGTTAAGGATCTGCTTTAAACACTTACTAGCTCCACTCTCTGGGAGAAATGCTATGCTTTTGGCATACACTGTGAGCACCTCATGTCCACTATCTCCCTCTCGCGCTCCTAGCACTTCTCCCAGGACCTTCCCTCTCTGCTCCTTGCAGAGCCAGTTCCCCTGCCATGCCATGCTTCCTCCTGCCTCCTGATTTTGGACATTCTGTGCCCATGGTTGTCTTCCAATCAAACCGTGTATGCTCGTTCAAGTCCCTTTGAGAAGCCACACTCCAGTCACCCCCATGTCCCACAGGACAGAATCCCCCTGACTGCTCTCTCCACTTCCCTGTTTGCCTCTCTCCAATCCATCCTCCAAAAAGCAGCCAGGCTGCTTTCTACACAGTAATCCCATCATGACACCCGCTTTCCTAAAACCTTCAGTGGCTCCCCTCCCATCACCCTTGAGTGAAATCCATCTCCTGATCGTGGCCTGCAAGGCCCTGCCGATCAGCTCCCTCACCTTCTCCCACTTGCTCGCTGTGCTCCAGCCACACTGGCCAGTCTGCAGTTTCTCAAACCCGGAGCCTTTTCCTCCCCTCCATGCACACCAGCCTCTGCTTCGAGAATGCTGTCTTCCCTGCTCAGCTCCAGGGCCACTCCCTCTGGGAGCGCTTTCTCTACCTCTGTTGCATTCTCATTATACCCTGCTCTTTTCCTTCACAATGCGAATTATTATCTGCTATTATTTCTTTGTGCGTTTACATATTTGTATATTTTTAACTTAAGGACCTTCTTTCCCTCTAGATTGCAAATTCTGTGAGGACAGGGCCTTAGCTTCAGGCAGGAGGCCCAGAGCTCCGCACAAATGTCTGTCCAGCAGATGTCTCTGCGCAGGTTTCCTGCAGGCCCTCCTCCCTCCACCACACTTCAGCGAGGGCCCGCTGGCCTCCTCCTGCACCCATCTGTATGGTACACTGCTTTGTAGTAGTTTGTTTACGTGCCAATCTCTCCCTACAAGAATGTGAGCTTCTTGACATCAGTGCTGTTCTTCTGTGTGTTCCCAGCATAGCAAGTCATATTGCCTCCACTCCCACATCTAGCAGAAAGATTAACTCGTAAAGGCAAAGCACTCCTAAACCTGCAGATAAAAACCTTAAGATCCCTGCCTTAGATAACATGATAACCAAATGCAAACAAAGTTTAAATGTACTAGAATATACTAAAAATATTTGCAATCATTAAGTGGTCAAATTGAGTATTTAAGTAAAGTAATATTGGCACTTATATCCCACCTCACTCTTGAGAGGTCTTCAGCCTGGTTTTCTGTTGATACCGAAGCTTCTGATACCTGAAGAACAGAAGACTGTGTTCAGAGACCTAGAAGGGAAAAAGAATGACAAATGTTAGGAGAAGGGCAATGAAAGGAGGCCAGTAAAGAACGAGATGAGGCAACACAGTGCAGTGCAAAGAGCTGGAGCTCCAAATTCAGACAGTGACTTCACAAGCCACTAGGCCCTCTCCACCTCAGACCTAGCCTCGGGCAGGTCCCTTGGCCTCTTGAGATCATAGTTTCCTCAGTTGAAAAATTAAGATAAAGATGCTTCACTTGGTTATCGTGAGAATCAGATGATGCAAAATGTGTCTGACACACATGTGAAACCACCCAGCATTCATGTTCAAACTCCATTCATTTATATTTGCTCATCTGAGTATTTATTAAACTCCTACTGTATGCCAAAAACTACGTTAAGCTGCCGAGGTTACAAGGGAGAGCAAAAACAAACATGTTTTCACACTCACAGAGCTTACAGTCTCTTCTGTGACTCAAATACTCAAACAAGCACAAAGATGGACCTGTAGTTGGTGCTGTAGAGGAGATTACACTGTGAGCACCTGTAACCATGGAGGGAGGGAGTGGCCCAGTGCACATACTCTGCAGCCAGCTGGCCTAGGTTTGATTTCTTACACTATCACTTAGTAAGTGATTGACCTTGGGAAAGTCAATGTACTAACTGCCGTATGTTTCTGTTTACTTATCTATCAGAGAAGGGTAACAGTCATATCTACTGATAGGGTTGTTTTGAGGATTAAATGAGTTAGTTAATAGATAGAGGGCTAAGACCTCATAACTACTATATATGGATTTGCTGTTTCATTATTGTTACTTTGCCTAATTGGGGTGGCCAAAGAAGTTTTCCTTGAAGGAACATTTGAGCTGAGATATGCAAAGATTAGTAGTGTTAACTAGGTTAAATGAGGGAGAGAAGAGCATGGGCAAGTGTCCATAGGTGGGAAGGACAGTGGAAAGTCCAAGGACCTAAAAGCAGGCCACTAGGGCTGCAGTGAGAAACAAGATCAGACTAAGCAGGACTCTGCAAGTAATGTCAGAAGTTCTATCCTCATCCTACAGGCAATGGGAGCCATTGGGGTTTTTGAGAAGGGAGAACACTACTCTAACTTTAGAGCAGAGAAGAGACTAGTGAAGGGACAGTGTGAATGCAGGAATGCTAGCTGGAAGTTTACTCTAGAAATCTAGAAGAAATGAGGATACCATGGGCAAGAGGGATGGTAACACAGATGATGGGACAGATCTGAGAGATGTTTCAAAGATAAAAATTACAAGACTTGCTGATGGGACAAAAGGCAGAAAGAGATGTCAAGCATGGCTCCTATGTATCTGGCTTGCAAAACTGGATGGATGCTGGAGCTGTGCACTGAGATGGAGAACCACGATGCACGTCCTTATAGAAGCAGCATGGAATGAAACAGAAGGTGAGGCTACCATCTAAATAACAACGCATGTGAATGATCAGAGGGCATGGAATCTGAGTGTTCATCCCTTGAAGAAGTCACTCGACCATGTATCTCATATTCTGTTAACAGTTCTGCAAACAAGGAAAACAAGTGATCATCCAAGGTCATTTACATTTGTCTGTGGGAATGCAGTGATGTGAGAACAATGTATACTTAACCTGCCCATTACAACTCAGACACTCCTCCCCTCAGATCACTCTCAGCAGTCTGAGACCAGTGAGGTGAGAGAGGATAGGTTCTAACTAGATGGTCCACTGAAGCAAAAAGATGACTGCATCTTCAAAGGGCATAAAGACAAATCATATTCTCCTTGGTGTACAAAGAATCCAGATAAATTCTCATAGGAACAGTCAATGGATTCTAACATCATTATTATTTCTAGCTACCCTAATTGAGCACTTCCAGTGTGCCGGGCACTTCATCTACATTGTCAAACACCTTCACACAGCACCTATAGAGACAGGAAGAAAGACTCAGCGAGTAACCTCCCTGAGGTTACACAGCCACTGAGTGAGAGAGCAGGGATTTGGACCCAAGCCTGCCTGACTCTGAGACCAATCTTCTTTTTACAACCCTAGTGAATTTCGTTGATTGAGCAACACTTCAGCATTGACCTCTATGCAAAACAGGCATTTCCAGGTGGTTAAACACATTTAAGGTGAAGCCCTTGGCCAATAATAGAACAAAACTAAGTGGCCTCTGCAGAGATCAAAACTACGACCTTGTCCTTATTGGATCATTCTGACACCAGAGGACTTCAAGCAGACAAACACTTGCCATCAAATGGCTATCAAGCATTTTATTTCCCTTCATATTGTGTAGATTGCTCATTTATTAAAAGAGTTCAGCCTTTCAAAATAAGCCACTGGATAGAAGAGAGACAAGTGACGTTTGTAAAAATTATCAAGGGGAAAGGCTTTTACAGAATTTGTGAAGGACTTAAAAGGTGGGAGATAGGGTGCTGGAAACCTACCTTCAGAGATGTGCAGAATCAGCTCCCAGGTCCTGGTCCTCAGGAACGTGTGCCCTCCGTTGGCCTTGCCATGTGCTCACACTGCCACCTGCTGGACATAGTATACATCTCCACTTCCATAATGGTCCACCTGGAGACCCACACAGCCTGTCAAGCAAATTGCTCACGCTTTACACCTCTTTTTCGCATTTTAAGGTTTCTTGCTCAAGAGGAAGTTTGATTTTCTGACCAAAACCTCTTTCCAGCCTTATAGCAAAGAAAGACAGGTAGGAATCCACTGATGGTGGTGGAGAGAGCCAAAAGCACAAGGGAACACTGTGTTAGGGGCCCGGGCAGGGAAGAGAGCAGGAGGCGGCCATGTGGGTTTGTGACAGTTGCCGAGAGAACCTGCTGCACCCATGAATCCAGGTGTCTAATTTTCAGAACCCTCAAAGCCTTTTGGCCACAACTCTAATGACAAAACCTCCCAAAATCCCTTTTAAACATAGTGAAGTACATTCCTCCCTGCATATTTTCTTCTCCTATAAGCACAGCTTGTGTTATCTAAGGGCAGAGTGGGCTTCCAGCTTGAAAACATGGCGCTATTATTTTTCAAGACCACAGGCAGCAGTCTACCTTTTTAAAAGAATTTCAATCTTCCTCTTTCATTCACTCACAGCATGAAAATAAATCACTGTGCTTCAACATTTTAAAAATTAAAGGCTTAGATGGCACGTGCTGATCAAGAGCTGATCTTCAAATACTTATTTCCATCAACTATTACACTTGCTTTTAGTTTTCTTTTTCATTTTTCTTTTATTTACCTCATGTGGCATTGCATAGATGCAGCAGACAGAAACGGGTCTCTCTCATTCCAAACCAGATAGGATGCTAAACCCACTTCCTTTTGGGTAAGATTGGAATAGAAAAATGGGCTGGAGAGTGTTGGACATAAAATCAGGGACTATCCAGTGACCTCTCAGACGTTTTATGTTCAGCAACTCAATAATAAATGTTAGAATCATTCCCTGAACCCACTTTCCAAAGGAGGACACTGAAAGATTCTCGCTTGCCCAGATTTCCAGAACTTCTAGGTAACAGAAGAGGACCTGGAATTTCTCAGCCAGTTTCCAGATTTTCTACATCATTCACTGAACTCCACCACTGTCTTCTAATTTCACGTGCAAAATTGAAACACATACAGCCTAGCTTTCCCCAGCTGGTCTCACTCATTCCCATGGCCTCATGCACACTTGAGTGCCAGTGATGACTCCCAGGCCTGTGTCTTCAGTTTCCAACACTCACTTGAGGTCTAGACCCATCTCTCTAACTGCCCACTAAATATTTCACCCTGGATGTCCCACAGACACCTTAAGTCTCAAGCCAAGTCTTGGTCACCCTGGCCCCATCTCTCAAACCTGCTCTTCCTTCATGTAATGATCCAGTTAATGGCAAAACTATCCACTCAATTATGTAAACCCAAATCCCAAATGTCACCCAATACCCCCACCCTTTATGCATGATTGATCACAATGTCCTATAACATTTACTACCTACTAGAACTATTTATCCTCTTTTCTCCAGCTATACCGACACTACATTTTCACTTGGACTGTTGAAATATCTTTGCAACTATCTACTTTCCCCGTGCTTAGTGCTCTCTTTGTATCCTTCGCATTCAAAAACACAAAACTAGGGGCCAGCCCAGTGGCGTAGTGGTTAAATTCCCATGTTCCGCTTCTCGGCAGCCCAGGGTTCACCAGTTCAGATCCCAGGTGCAGACATGGCACCACTTGGCAAGCCATGCTGTGGTAGGCATCCACATATAAAGTAGAGGAAGATGGGCATGGATGTTAGCTCAGGGCCAGGCTTCCTCAGCAAAAAAGAGGAGGACTGGCAGTAGTTAGCTCAGGGCTAATCTTCCTCAAAAAAAAAAAAAAAAACAGAAAAACAGAAAACTAATCACATCTTTGACAACACAATCATGACACATAAAAGGAAAAATTGACAACTTGGACTTTAACAAAATTAAAAACTTTTGAGCTAAAAAAGATTCTGTTAAGAGGATGAAAAGACAAATTATAAACTGGAAGAAAGTATTCACAATCACATATCCAACAAAGGGCTTGTATGTGGCATATATAAAGAACTCTCAAAACTTAACGTTAGAAAAACAAATAGTCCAACTAAAAAATGGTCAAAAGACATGCACAGACATTGCACAGAAGAGGATATATGGATGGCAAATAAGCACATGAAAAGGTGTTCAACATCATTAGCCATTAGAAAAAAACAAATTAAGACTACAATAAGATATAACTACACCTAACAGAACGGCTAAAATAAAAAATAGTGACAGCACCAAATTCAGGGGAGGATGTGGAGAAACTGAATCGCCGGTGATAATGTAAAATGGTAGAGCCACCCTGGAAAATAGTTCAACATTTCCTTTTGAAACTAAAAATGTACTTACCATATGATCCAGCAACTTCACTCTTGGACATATATCCCAGAGAAATTAAAACTTATTTTCACACAGAAATTTATACACGAATGTCATAGCACCTTCATTTGCAATAGCCAAAAACTACCCAGATGTCCTTCAAGAAGTGAATGGTTGAACAAACTGTACTACACCCCACGGAACACTAGTCAGCAGTAAAAGGGAATGAACTATTGATGCAAGCAACAACTTGGATGAAGCTCAAGGAAATTACACTGAGTGAAAAAAGCCAATGTCAAAAAAATGTATTTTTCATGATTCCATTTATGTGACATTTATGAAATGACATAATTACAGAGATGAAGAGATCAGTGGTTGCCAGGGGATAGGAATGGACAGGGGAAGAGATGGGTGAGCATATAAAAGGCTAATAATGAGAAGATCTTTTGGTAACAGTACAGTTAAGAATCTTGATTGTAATAGTGATTACACAATACTACAGATGTAATAAAATTGCATAGCACTACACACAGACACAAATGAGAATAATGAGTGCATATATTAACTGGTGAAATTTGAATAAGCAAATTACGCCAATGTCAATTTCCTAGTTTTCATATTATACTATAGCTGTGCCAGATGGTCACACTAAGAGAGGCTGGATGCACGCGACTTCCCTGTACATTTCTTTGCATCTTCCTGTGAATCTATTATTTCAAAATAAAGTTTTAAATAACCGATCATGTCACACCCTCGCTGAAGCTCTCTTTATTTATAGAATAAAACACATTCATCTATGCACAACATATAAGGACCTCCATTTCAATTTCATTTCCTATTAGGTATTCTGGTTAATTGTAGGTTTGCTGTCTTTCATCTCCTTATTGGGTATGCTAAAATGTCCACCAGTTTTTAGACAACGTTTGCCTTTACTTCTAGGATTATAGAAAATGTATGCATGCAACCTGAAACTTCTAAAATTTGCTAGAGTTGGACATTCTAAACATATTCCACAGCTATTTAGTAAATCTTTGCATGCCTCAGCCCAATCAGTCTACAAATAGCTATCCATTCTGGATACTAGAGGCTTTATGCAATTTCTCAAAGAGGCAGAAAGACGAGGTACTGTCATAAGGGTAACAGGTGAGTGAGAATTATTATAGCACACAAACCATGGGAAGTGGTGAAAGGAGTCCACAGACCTAGAAAATATTCCTTCACTGATGATTTTGCTCATTTCAAAACCAGTGTTTTAGTTTCCTAGGGCTGCGGTAACAAGTACCACAAACTGGCGGGCTTAAACAACCGAAATGTATTGTCTCACCGTTCTGGAGGCTAAAAGTCTGCAATCAAGATGTTGGCAGGGTTGGTTTCTTTTGAGGGCCGTGAGGACAAATCTATTCCAGGTCTCTCCACTAGATATTAGTGGTTTGCTGGCAATCTTTGGCATCCTTGGCTTGTAGAGGCATCACCCCAATCTTTGCCTTCTTCTTCACATGACAATCTCCCTGTGTGCATGTCTCTGTGTCCAAATTCCCCATTTTTATAAGGATACACTTTATAAGGATTAACTAATTATGTCAGCAATAACCCTATTTCCAAACAAGGTCACATTCTGGGGTACTGGGGGCTAGAATGTCAATATATGAATTATGGGGGCAAACGATTAAACCCATAACACCCAGGAAGCACTAGTAGCAAGAAAACCCTGTTCCTTCTATTTGAATGAATAGACTAGTCTACATGTCAATAATGTGCCTGGTACCAGAGGGCACACAGAATTTGATATGGACACTGACTAGGGCTCACTATGAAAATTCTTATGCTCATCACAAAGAAGACATTTAACAACCACAGGAGTGTGCTTGACACTCTATTAGCAGATATTTGATGGCTTGTCAAATACGCAAGTTGGATCATTCTACAATCAAGCTGCTAATCAATGGTAATCATATTCCACTGTATGTAGCTGACTCACCTTGTAGCTGGCTTAGAGTCATCAATTATCTGTAAAATTTTTCAATGTGAAAAAAAGTATTTACTTATTGGAAACAAAACATAATTGTTGAATAATTCATTTAACTTTTATAAGAGCCAAATTGCTTAAGCCAGGCATTGTAGCCAATTGTGAGCAGTCATTGTGAGAAGAAAGTAGATGTGGCCATTCTAAACACTGCCAAGGAATTTTTCAGTGGCTTTTGCGAGTGGGGAGGAGTGATGAAACAGACTCTCTTCCAGAGAAACCCTCTGCATGATCCTCCTTCACCTCCAACAACCCAATCCCTTCATATATGTTCAGTGTACATAAGTCAGTCTAACCAGTTCCTGGGCACCAAATTTGAAGTTGTGTGATAACATCTGGTATATGATATCTTTTGGAACTCAGCATCTCAATCTAAATTTCCAATATAATCCTGTATGCTTGCGTGTCTATTTTCTGCTGCATTTGAAATAGAATTATCTGTGCTTTTTAGAAACATCCACTACCTACTCCAGGAGTTTAAATTTGTATCAAGATATTATAGGAGACATCCATTCAGGGGAAAATTAGAATATGAGGAGATTTTGTGGCAAGGCGTCATGTGAGATAGGGCTTAGCTGATATACAGGAAATAGACTTAGAGAGATAACAGGAAATGACATTCCAAGGAAAGAGAATCATGAAAGTG